AGAGAATTTGTATTTTTATAGTTTTGAAGTGTGTTACTGGGAAAATAGTATGTCTCCTCATTTACAGAGATCTTTTCTGTCCTTAATTCAGATTTTCTAGCTTTCTGACACATGCTTTATTACATTTATTTACAGGCTGGCTTATTTATTTATATCTTTTTTAAAGATTTACTTACTTTTATTGGAAAGTCAGATCTACAGAGAGAGGGAAGACAGAAAGATTTTTCATTTATTGGTACCCAAGTGGTCCTAATGGTAGGAGCTGAGACAATCTGAAGCCAGGAACCAGGAGCCTCCTTCAGGTCTCCCACATGGATGCAGGGTCCCAAGGGCTTTGGGGTGTCCTCTGCTGCTTTCACAAGCTACAAGCAGGGAGCTGGATTGGGAAGTGGAGCATCCAGGATCCAAACCTACGCCCATATGGGATCCCAGCACATGCAAGGTGAGGACTTCAGCTACTAGGCTACTGTGCCAAGCCCTTGCTATTATTCTCATGAGTGGAATATATTTCTGTTAAATATGAACATCAGAAATGTCTGATTAGAGGAGCTGAAGGCTTTTAAAAATTTCGCTTGTTTCATTTGACCTGTTTGATTTATACTTGTACATATTTATGGGATACATTCTGACACCTCACTACATATATGAATAACATAATGATCAACTCAAGCTAGTTGGTGGATCTATCACCTCTGGTAGACACACACACACACACACACACACATATATAATTTCTTTGGGTTGAAAACATTTGAAATCCCATTAGTTGTTTTTAACTATTCAACCGTGTAAGTCCTGCTGTGATATAGGACATTGAAAGCCACTCTTCGTGTCCATGGCAGCAGCACAGAACTCTCAATTTTTCTTTATTGAACTTAGTTCTGACAGTCTTGCTACGTTCTTCTATGAATTCTGATACATTTGTGTATCCTCTTGCATTTCCTATACAAATAATCAGATCATAGTCATTACAGATATGTGTTCCTTCTTCTAGTCTCTGGGGCTGCCGTTCAGCACATCAGACACATTTTCTACCTGTGTAAGAATACAGTCATTCTGATCTTTTCATTGCTTGTAATTAGAACGCTTTTTATATTTCATCACTCAGCATGATTGCTATAGATGTCTACAAATATCTCTTGTTATTTTTAGAAGGATTGCATGTCTAGTTTGCCAGGTACTTTTCTGTAAATGACTACTAACTTTACTGAATATTGTTCCTTCCTGAAATGATGTTTCCCTTTTCTTTGCTCTTCTTCTTACTTTAAGTTTTTTGTCCATAAAAATCAGAACAAACTTCCAATAATTCATGTATATATCTGTGGTTGCTTTTAAACTGTTGTGTAGTATATATCAACCAATTTTCGGCCTTTGAACAATATCCACCTTGGTCTTATCTTTTTTCTTAAACAATTAGATTCAATTTGCTAGGTTTTCGTTTAGGTCATAAGTGTTCTTAGTCCAAATTCTCCTTTCCTGTTTGTGTTCTATGTAGCCCAAACTGAATATCAAAGTTCTTTCTGTCTGCTTTTACTGTTTTCTTTTTTTTTTTAAAGGTTTATTTTTATTATTTTGTTTATTGGAAAGGCGGATATACAGAGAGGAGAGACAGAGAGGAAGATCTTCCGTCTAATGATTCACTCTCCAAGTGAGCGCAACGGCTGATGCTATGCCAATCCGAAGCCAGGAGCCTCTTCCGGGTCTCCCACACGGGTGCAGGGTCCCAAAGCTTTGGGCCGTCCTCGACTGCTTTCCCGGGCCACAGGCAGGGAGCTGGAAGGGAAGCGGGGCTGCCGGGATGAGAACTGGCACCCATATGGGATCCCGGGCGTGCAAGGGGAGGACCTTAACCACTTGTGCCACCACGCCGGGCCCTTTACTGTTTTCTAAACCTGAGTGTCAGAAAAGCTTTCATTTGACTTAAATACTATTCAAAAGAGTTTTTTACTCTCTCTTGAAAATTTCAGCTTTGTGATTGGTACTGTGGCACAGCACGTTAAGCCACTGACTGCAATGCCAGCATCCTACTTGAGTGTCAATTTCAGCCCTTGCTGCTCTGCTTTCCATCAGCTTAGTGCTAATGTGCCCAGGAAGGCAGCACAGGATGGCCCAAGTGCCTGAGCCTCCATCACCCATGTGAGAGACCCAGATGGAATTCTAGGCTCCTGGCTTCAGGCCAATTCATCCCCATCTACAGGTACCAGGGCCATTTGGAAGATGGACCAGCAGATCGAAGATCTCTCTCTCTCTGTCTCTTTCTTTTCCTCCCTCATTTCAAGTAAATAAATGAATCTATTTAAAATTACAGAACAGTTAACTTATCTTTTATATGCCAAGTAGGCATTATAAGCTGGAAGAATGTCTATTTTTCATAAATAAAATGAAGTGACTCTACTTTAGAAAGAAGTAGGCATGGCCTGTTATCAATTTTCCTTAGTAGACATAGGAGCAAAATATAAATTGCTGAGTTACTAAGATAGATGATACTAGACACTCCAGTAGAGCTAAAAAAAATACAGCAAACCATCCAGATATTTCCAAAGGTCTCTTTGGATTTATTGTGGCTTGATTACACAAAAATGCTCTGTGATAGACAAGCTGTTATGTATCTGAGATGATCCAAGTTGGAAATATATATTCCACAGAAATTTCCACAAACTGCGCCTATTTTAAGCATTGTTTACAAATGACCTTTAGAGAAAGTAAATAAGGTGAAAATAAAGTTTCCTGTGCATCGACTGGGCAATGTTCATGCCTGTATTTCTTTATTCCTGTTTATTTGAAGCAAAATGGAAAAAAAAAGGAGGGGAGAATGTTTCCGTTGCATAGTGTGTGTGTGTAAATTTTTTAGCTGTTCTTCCAACTATACTACAGTTCCTCCATGTTAAGCCCATCCCAGATACACAGAATAAGCTGCATCTTTGCTCACCCAGTATCCACTCTACAAGAAGAATCCAGAATTTATCTAGGGAAACATATTTCTTTTTTCAAAAAACCATGTTCCAAAAATATCGAGCCATTTATCTTCTAACAACCATGCAAAAATGCAAGTCCCTTCCCCATTTCCTGTTGATAACATTTCTCCATTTGCAGCCCAACTTTTCTTTCCTGCAAAAGCCTGTGCACATTTTATTCACAGACTGCAAAACTGTGCTCTGAGGCTATTCAACCAAAGGGCATTCTTCCTGCAAACAGGGAGAATGGGGCCTATCCCAGGCTCAGCAATGGCCAGGTGAAAGAGCCTCATCAAACAGGCCTTGTGGAGTTGCGTGTAGCACTGCTGGGCAGGGACACGTCCCCCAGTCGCTTTGGCCAGGGGTCGTGTCTTCACACAGATTACCTGACCGAGTTGTTTGCACAACTCGGATGTCTGAGCTATAATGTCTTTACAAGCCGCGGAGTGTTATATCAGCTCAAGACCTCTCCGGAATAGAGGATGCTCCCCAGCAGCAGAAGTGACCCTGTTCCAGAAAAGCATGTTTCCAAATCGTTTCTTTGAAATCAAAAACTAGTTTCCCATAGGAACAAATTTGTAAACAGTGGTGTTCCACTCATGCCTGGCTGAGCAAAAGTGTGCCTAAATGCAACATCAACTCTACTGTTCCCACCACTCTGGAGTCATGCTGCTTCTCTGGGAAAGTGAGTTCTAATTTAGGATGCCAGGGCTCACCTCGCCCTCTGCCTGGGAGGCTGTGCCATGGCTTTTTTTGGGCTGGCAGCTGCGGGAGTAAGAGAGACACCAGCAGGGATGGGCATGGAGATTTCATTCTGATACCCCTATGATGTCCTGCGTGCTGGAGAAGGCTGAAGCAAGAACCAAGCATGTGGCTCAGTCACTCCCCTACCTCTGAATGTGGCACAAAAGTGACACACTGATTTCCTAAACAGAGATCATCTCTAAGTCAGGTTTTCAGAATCAGGCAAAGGCTTATCCAGTCTTTGAGACTATAATTCCAAACTTTGGGCCAGGGGACACATTTCAAAATTTCTCTTTTGAACTGGTACAGCACCCTCCAGCAATCTCTAAGCGTCAATCTTGCTCGTAGCTCCAGGTCTGAGCAATAGGAGGCGAACCGCAAGGTTCTTTTAAAAACCATTGATTTAAGTAGTAATCCAGTGAATTTTCAACTTGTGAAAAGCACAAGGCCATGATGGCCGGCCTGCATGGGTGAGCCATTTAACTGCATTTTTCCTCATGCCTCCTAGATCTGACCTTCTCATTCTGTGACCTGTAGGTCAGAGCCCATGCTTGCACTCCAGAAAGCAACTTGATTACCTGGACTGGAAAATACGCAGCTGTCTGTAACCAAAGCAGGTGTGGGCCTCTTCACGCCCTTTTTTGGCTTCAGTTTCCAGCGCTATCTCCCTATTGCCAAATCTGAGAAAGCCAAAGGGACAGAGGAGGAGATGGGATGTGGACACCCAAGCCTGTAGGATACTGCCTGGTAGAATTTCTGGCTCTAAGTTTATTCTGGACAATGTTGGCTGAGCAAAAAAGACACGAAGGCTTGTGTCAGACTGTATGTGTGTGTCAGTTGCCTTTATAATATATACAGATATATATAATATTTATAATATATTATAAATATATACAGATATAATTTGGAGGACTGTGCTTCTTTTAGACTAGAATTTAGTCTGGACACAATACCTGGGTCTTGTGCATTTCTGGTTTTCAACTGCATAAAACTTTAAATGAATTCTGTACGTGCAAATACTTTGGGAGGGGGGGTAAAAAACAAGCTTCCATTAGATAGCTCTCTCCACCCCACTCCACTTCCACTAAACTGACCTACTATTAACTTTTCATTCCACAGCCTGTGCTTTCTTTTGAAAGCTCCATTTGCGCTCCACAAGACAGCCTCCTTCTCTCAGATGCACATTTTTTATGATTGTTCCTGACATGAATCCACTTCCAGAGGCCCTGCTAAGGATAACCAAAAAAGGGCATGGAGCAGGCTGGTTTTGGCAGCCTCTACGAAGTCTCCAGAGCCTTTTAGCTCTTGGTTTTTCTGATGAGCGATTTCCTGAGCATGCCTAGGGAATGACAGGCACCTCCACAGGCAGACTGCATCACCTTGACCCAGTGTCGTCATTGGCTGCCTATTAGAACAGCAACAGGACAATGCATACCACTGACTGCCGACTGTAAACAGAGGGGATATGCGTTCACTTAGCATGGACTTCTGGGAGGGGCTAAAGAAGGGCGGTCTGCAGTTTTATTGAATAGAGCAGTGTGCATTAGGCTGCCTGCCTGCCTGCCTGCCTGCCTGCCTGCAGGCTCCCTTGCTGTACTCCGGCTTAAACAAAATCAACCCTACCTTTCCAGCGTAGGTCCAAGGAAGAAGTTTCAGCCTGCAAGGTAAGACACAGGGAGCTTTCTTTTTTTACTTTTTTTTTTTTTTTTACTTTGCTGGAGAATCTTGTGGCTTTCTCGGAGGGTTTCGTTTGCATTCCAGGCCAAGCAAAGGGAGCTGGAGCTGCAGGATTGTTCAAGGCAATAAACCACATAAAATTCCTGGAGCTTGGCTGGGCTTTACGGCTCTCGGGATGTTCCCGGAAGGCAAACAGGATGAGACTTCAAGTTTTGTTTTTAGAGTTGCGACAGGAAGAGAGATCCTATAGAGACTCCACTCAGAGTGCGCCGGCGTTTGGATTAAGCTAGGGATTTGCTTTTCTGTTGTTTGTTTGTTTTTCAGGAGTCTGGTGTGGGATTCTACCTGGGAGTCAGCGTGGTGTTCGCAGACACGCTGTCTCTCCTAAATCTTTTATTATGAAAGATTGAAGAGAGTTTGCTTTTAAGCAACAACTTTTCAGGTTGCTGAGAAGTCAGGGAGTGAGTTTCGTTTTGCAGCCTAGGGTATTTCTGGTGCTTTGTTTTCTATCACTGCTCTCAGCATTTAAGAACTGAATTTCCAGGGGTGCAGGGAAATAAAGCCGTAGCTAGAAAAGTACTATCGTAATTGAGTTACTGTCACTGACCTGATGTTTGCTAAAACAGAAGATGCCTGCAGAGATCTGTTTCCTATAAAACCTAGCAATGAGAAAATACATCTGCCGTTGGATGTGTTTTCAATAAGTCTCATTAACAACCTACCAAGCTATTTCTTTAGAATCCTGTGTTCTGATCGAAACTGTGTCTGTTTGAGCCCATAGAGTTGGAAAAGATACAGCTGGAAGTGTGTTTCAGAAAGGAAGGAGACAGACATACAAGGCAACAAGTTGGTAGGAGCTTGGAATTCCTTCTAGAAAGAACAGATTGTCAAGGGTGGGGAATTTCAGTACCGTGGCAATACATGGTCAGGGAAGGGGATGAGAACAAAGTACTTGTTATTCATAGGTCCCTCCTGTTAACAAGGCTGTGCGGATGGGCTTTGTAAACTGAAATGGTAAAATCCTCCTCCTGTGTTGGGCAAAGCCAGGCAATAGAACTTGCGTGAGGACTAGGTGCTTTCTGTTAGAAAGAGTAAATCTGCTCATTTTTAAACTAACGCTGGCCATTCTGGGCTACCAGCTACAGTGATTCACTGAGTCCACGGGGTAAGGTGCCTCTGTGTGGAGATGCATTAAACCTTGTTTTCTCATCGGATTCAGAAAGTGGGGGATAATGATTTGAGAAAGTCTCTATCTCCTAGAAATGCTACATGAGAACAGAATTCCCTGTGGACTTCTTTCCCCTGGAAACTTTCTGATAACTGGGAGAGAAAGGCTGCAGGCAAAAGCTATAGTTTGATCACTGTCTTTCCCTCAGCGAGATCAAGTTTCAAACTATTTTCACAGCGTTTTTAATGTCAATCAAAATATGGAGAGCAACTTCTTTTTCAACTGTTTTCTAAACAATGTAGGGTATGCAACTTGGAAGGAAATCTACGATCTTGAGATCTGAGGGTAAATTTCATTTTGAAACCAACATCTGAATCCCTGAAAGTTTGAGCTTGGCAATGATCATCCTCTCCCATCCTCTCTCTCCGCTCTTCACCCCGAACAACCACAAAACACATTAAAAAAATCATACAGTAAGTGTTCTATGTATGGTGATTAAACCTCAGACATCTCTTTGTGGGCTGAGAAGGTTTCATGAAGATGGAATTAAAAGATAAGTTGACTTTGATGCCCCCAATTTTCATATCCATGCATCAATTTTTGTTACACAATGCATGTTACAGAAAATTGTTGATGTCCCATTGAGTTAGCTAAAGTATTTCTCCCCAAGTAAGGAGGCAACAAAAAGGAAAACAAAAAAAGAATTAAGAAAATGAAATCACAAGAAGGTTCATTTTTTTTTAAATGTTATTTAATTAAGAAAAATACACTGGAAAAGTTCTGGAACAAAAATGTTATTAATCATGAGTTGATCTTCAGAGACAAAAGAACAGTAAATTGATCTATGAAGTGAAAGGCTGTTTCCTTTGCTCAAAGTCAATAGGATGTGCCATTGAACTAATAAGGCCCAAAGGATTGTCTTAAATAAATACACAGTTCTTGCATTGAAGTAATGAGAAGGTAACCCCCTAATCAAACTGGACCTTTACAGACTTTAAATGAGATACATGGAAGTATTTCCTGAAAGTGAGGCTATTAAGAGTTATGACAGCCATGGCTGGGCTGAGGCATCTCCTGCCCACATGTACATGGAATAATTTGGTCCTATGTCTAGCCATTGAAAGTTCCAGAATTCCAGCCTGGACATTGTCTGTATTGATCAGCAAAACACACCTTTGCAGGTCTCTTCTTCAAAATACATATAATCGCCTCTACTTGTCATTTTCATGGCAACATGTTGACAACTTGGCCCTTCCTGTTAAGACAAGGAACTGACTTCTAAATGGGCATGAAAAGGGATTAGCTAGGTGCCTGTCTTCCTGAAGTCTATTACATGTCCCAGAAATGTGGTGGGGTGAACCCATGGTGAGGGGTTAGGGAAAAATGCTGACCAAGTGGTATGCAAATAGCATGGTATAACTAAGAAGGGGGTTAGAATGAGACTGCCAAGGACTTCTCAAGCTTTGGAAAAGGGCTTTCTGGGTGAATTCTCTCATAGACTGAAAATAGAACCATGAGCTCCTTAACTGAAAGTCCTTCATCAGTCTTTCTAAACCCAGTTCGTTGTTGGAGAAACGCCTGTGGTTCCTGAGGAGCTGGGCAATTTCAGTGACACTACAGCTCAGGTTTAACTCATAAGTATGACTGTGAGATCTTGGCTTATGAACTGGTTCTTCTGTTTAGATAATACTCAGATTTGAGGAAGTTCTCATCTCTGTGGCCTCATCTGTGGAGTGGACATTATAGTGCTTCTCCTATATTCAGTTGAGTGACGTTACCTAGCGCTCTTCCATATCGGCTATACACTTTGAACTGAGTGCTGGCATTATGCTCCTCCTGGCTGGTACCCTCCATTTCTTACCCAGGATCCCCACATCATTCTATTTCAAGAACTTTAAATGGTTTCTTCTGGCTTTTTGTGCTATCTAAAACTCATGGTTTAATGTCCAGGGAATTCCAGTGTGGCCCAGTGTTGTCTGAAATTTGGCTCTGGGGATCAGAGACCCGTGGGAAATACAGTAAAGAGGAGCACTAGTGGTGCAAAGGAATAGCCAGGAACTGGGAAAGTTGAGGATCCAGTTGAACAGAAGACCAACGACAAAGTGCTGACAACAGAAAGGCCTTAGTAAATGAGGCGGCTTCTCTGCCTCCAGCCAAAAGCATGGAATTCAGCCAAGCATGTCAAGCCTGGGCTTTATAGGAAAGGTGAGGTAATCAGGAGCATCTGGCTGTGGTTCCTGTTGGTACTGAGACCGGACTCCTCCTGCAGCTTGCCTCTCACCTCTGTTCGCCTCAGCCTTCACTAGTCCCAGCTGGGATTAACACCTGGCAGCAGCCCCTAGTTCCCTCACCCTCAGCCTTCCACTCGCCAGCTTCTCTAGCGCCCTCCCCAGCCCCAGGCCAAACAGGGGGCTTTCCTGATTGGAAACACTGGGCATTGACAAGGGCCCAGCTCTTGTGGCTGAGGCCCAGAGGAACAGTGGAAAGGTTAAGCACAGATACGGTTTTGTTAGGGGGAAAAGAAGCTTCAAGGTTGAGGCACAGGAAGAACATTCAGAGAAGACAGAGTGGACATGAAGGCAATCTCTGTGATGAGGAATCATTCTGGATGTTGCCACCGACTCTAAGCTTGCTGAGCGTTGAGTGGGAGCTGTGAGAGAGCAAAGAAGGTGCCCCTACAGTGTGAGGAGGAAGGCCCGATTATCTTGCAGCCCTTGATTCTGCTCTGTATTGATGCTGTTGTTTCAGACTGCTGCAAGCCTCAAATAGCCCCAATCCCTGAAGGTCCGTTGTGAGCCTGCAGTTTGTAATTGATTGTAGAGAGAGAACCTTGAGCTTGAGGACATGAGGGTATGGAGCAGTATAAAGCCTTGGTTCCAATGGAGACAGGTTTAGGGTGGGATCAAAGCACTTGTGGGAATGTAGTTGCTTCTCTCCCACATCTGGAACGAAGTGTTCCAGTGAAGACCCAGGTATCTAAAAGGAGATTGCATAATGTGGCCCTGACTGCAAGGACAAGGTGATCTGCTTTAGAGAATTAGCGGTTTTCTACAGGGAACATGCAGTGGCTAGAAGGACACAGGAATGGCTGCTATTAAGTGTATCCTCAGACAATACCCCCCCCCACACACACACAAAGACACACAATAGACAACTAGAGATAAACTGCTTTCTAATAGTTCCCTGAGAATTTTGATACTGTTTTTGTGAATATTCAGATGAAAATGCTTGGTTCTCAGGAAATCATCTCACTTGGAAAGTAACGTATTAAATAGGAGTGTATGGTTAGTTCCTTTTACTCCTATGTGCACATGTGCCATTCCCTTGACTTGTCATGAGAGTTTATTAAGAACCAGTATGTACAGAAGACTCGTAGAACAAGGTGAGAAGGTAAATGGAGTATCCTGTAGGCCTCAAAGATCATCAGATCCACTAAGTTCTGGGTTGCAGGGGGGGCAGTCTCAGCCAGATAGACCGAAGGGAATAAAAGCAACGGCTAAGCTATGACTGGAACCCAGGTGGGTAGAGAAGAAACAGCAAAAATAAAAGTTAGGAATCAAGGGGTTAAAACCAGGAGGCGTTTGTACAGACAGGTCAGGTGAAGTGTGGGAGAGGCTTAGCACAGTGTTCAGAGAAGAGAGACTGTTCCAGCAAAGGAATGGGATTCCAAGGTGCATGAGTGAGAGGAACTGAGTCGCAGGGAAAGCTAGCAGAGGAAGACAAAGCAGAAGGAGGGTCCAAGGAGAGTGGAGCCAAGATGGGCAGAAGGAGCGCAGCAAAAGACTAGGATCTACATTATTGTTGGCAATAATATATGAT